TCCAAGAAGGAAAAATAATAAGGCGTGTTTGTTCGTGTTTTTCCTATTTTACTGGGTCGGGTAGGGGGCCCTCCGCAAACTGTCCCTTTTCTGGAGACCAGAGATATGCACTTTAGTCGCCTATTACGACACGCAGTAACACAGCAGGTTTATTCTTTTCTCCCCCACAGTATATCTATGCCCCCCCCCCCAATTGCAGGGGAGACGGGGAGGTGCGTGGGGATGGCATTATTAATAAACGTAGGATTACGAATACAAGACTTTGAGCAGATCGGACGTTTCTATGTGATGAGAACATGTCTTTTATGTTTTTCATTTTCAACGCACCAAATAATATTATTGCGTCAATGTGCTTCTCTTTACTTGCTCCCCCTCAACCCTCTCTCGCGTTAAAAACCTCCAAAACAACTTTAACAACATATAACCAACACAACAACCCCATCCTCCAAATATAAATAAAACAAAACCAACAAAACAAAACAACTCATCAACAACAATAACAACAACAGTACAACCCAACAACAACAACAGCAATATCAATCAAACATCAGCAACAAAAACACATCCCTTACCAACATGTTCCCGAACGACCTTCAGATGCGCCGCCTTGAAAACCACCAGCCCGTCCTTGATGTGGTAGTCCAGAGAGCGGCTGATGACGTCAGCAAAGTTGTGCATGACCTGCATAAGACTGTCGCCCTCCGCCCCAGATGGTCGAGTGGCGTTCCAGCCTGCCTCGTTCCTGGGCGCCAGCAGGTTGTTCACGATGTTGATGAGGAGCTGAGGGAACAGATAGTGGATTGAGGTGGCCATAAACAGTATCTTAAGTGTGGTAAGCAGTCTCAAAATTGTATTTCGATATTCCTCTCAATCATTTGTGAGGCATCGTGGTGAAATCAGGCGCTCGTCAAATTTATGAAATCAAAGAAACTGTCAATAAATATTGATTATTCTGTCTTTTCACCTGTGTCAAAACCATTCTGGCTTTTGCCCTCATACCCTGACCACATCTATCTATCTATCTATCTATCTATCTATCTATCTATCTATCTATCTATCTATCGGTCTTTCGCTCTGTCACTCTGTCGCTCTGTTTGTTGGTCTTGGCAGACATCTATCGAGAAATAGCAGAGTGCTTGCTTTAAAATTATGCAGTTTTTTTTTCAAAGAACATTGTGAACTTTCGGACAGTCTACAACTCGGAACTGATTGATGATTTCTGTTCACACGCGATTTATTGTTTTGATGTAGGCCAAAAAGCTAAAAAAAACCATAATCATCAACAACAACAACAATAACAGCAGCAACAACAACTATAACAAAAACAACAACAACAACAGCAGCAACACCACCACCACCAATAACAAGAACAGCAACAAGAAACAAATCCGGACAACAGAGCCAGCCCCATGTATCTCCCATTACCTCACAAAAAGTGGCCGTCTGCTGGAAGGTCGGGTACACTTCGTCTGTCCTGGCGTAGATCTGACCCTGGGCCAGCCACGTCACTGTCCGAGGGGCAACACCCTGTGTCAGATATTAAAGATCTTGTTATATAATAAACATAGAATAAAAATAATGTTAATAATAATGAAAATAATGGTGATGATGATGAGGATGATGGTAATGATGATTTTTTTTTTCGTTTCCTTAATGGGCCTGACAGACTTCACGAAGAAATCTTCGAGCGAGAGCGAGGCTCTTTTTCGGCTCCATTGTCAATATGCTTAGCGGCACCTCCACTGGTCCAAATAAGTCCATTCGAATTGCCATTGTTCCTGGACATTCAAACATATGTTTGATATCCTCCTTTTCATTGCCGCATCTTCGGCAACATGGGCTGAGCTCTTCATTTACAACGTTCTTATACCATCTTAAACTCCAATGATGGTCCGACCGCAGTCTCGCTAGCTCAACCTGGTCCCAGCGACATGTGATAGATTTTTGTTCCCGCTTATAGGAGTACCCAGAATACACATCTTCCAGGTGCTGGTACTTAGTTCTACATGGTGGGTCTCTGATTTCTCTCTTGATTATTGGAAAGACTCCTCTGTATGTCGTTGGTCGTCTGTCTCCTTCGATCTCTCTGGCTTCATTAGCAGCTTGGTCTGCTGCCTCATTTCCTTCTATTCCAACATGGCTTGGAATCCACTGAATTTTTATTGTGGCTCTGGCTTCACTGGACTTGAGGCGCAAATCATTCATGTCCGAGCTGTTGCCCAGTAGTCCCTTGCAGAGGGACTGACTGTCAGTCAAGATCATTACACATTGGTCCTACTGTGGCAATTGTCGGCAATCCATTGTGCAGCAGACATCATTGCCTGGCATTCCTCGTCATAAGATGATGTAAAGAATGTACCTTTAGTTTTAATAATTTCTGTTCGTGGTGGTTCATCATTTATTATCACTACTGCTGGTGCTCCACTTTCGCGGTATCCTGCGACTGCCGATCCATCGGTGAAAATTGTCACATCCGCACCAACCTCTTTGATCACATTCTCAGCTGCTTCACGTGCCTTTACAGGATCATCACCTTTTCCTTTTACTCCTCTCAGTTCTGTCCGAATTTCGATTTCGCCATGGGTCTCCCATGGACAAGCTATCACCAGATTGATCGGCCATCGATTCTCTGCTTCAGGGGGGAGGTGGTCTGCTAGATCGGTGCCCATCCGAAACCAACTTTTCCTGCGGTTTTTAGGCTTGACTGCTTGATCAAGGGCTTTTTTTCTAGGATGGGTAAGCTGTCCCCTTCACGATGGGGAGTACCGTTCTCAACGAAGACAGCCACATCCAATGGGAAAGCTCTGATGATGATGATGATGATGATGATGATGATGATGATGATGATGATGATGATGAGGATGATGCTGTCACGGCTGTACTAGGTCTCACTCACTTATGTCCCCCCCCCTTATAAACTCTACCCCCCCCCCTCTCTCAGTCTCTCTATCTCTCACACAAACACTTCCTCTGTCTCCCTTCTTTTGCCTCCAGCTGGGATGCCTCTATAAAGTATCCCCAAACATTTCCCTTGTTCATCCCCCGTTCACACAGTTAACTTCCAGTCAGACTCTCGTAGAGATATATTTTTTTAATACCCTTGCTAGACTAGCATCAATTTCTTTATAATTAGCCCTTTGGCCTGGCTCGCTCTGGGTCACTTCTGTCTAGCCTGTAACCACGCGTAATCTTAAGACCCTCCTTGTTAGGCCTATTTCCCTGCTAGTATACAGCACCCATTTAGTTTTTCTCTCAGTTTCTCCCGGGGAAGCCCAAGAGGCGAAACGTTGAGCTGTGTCTATAAATTTTTTTTTATAACTTTATATATTGCCATGCTATTTTGTCTGAAATTCAAACAAGACTCTCCCTCCTACTCTGCTTTTCCAAATAAAGATGATAACGATGATGATGATGATGATGATGATGATGATGATATGATGATGATGATGATGATGATGATGATGATGATGATGATGATGATGATGATGATTATGATGATAATAAGGATACTACTACTACTACTACTACTACTACTACTACTACTACTACTACTACTACTACTACTACTACTACTACTACTACTACTACTACTACTACTACTACTACTACTACAACTACTGCTAATAATAATTTTAAAAACCCGATAATAATAATAATAATAATAATAATAATAATAATAATAATAATAATAATAATAATAATAATAATAATAATAATAATAATTATTATTATTATTATAAAAATAATAATAAAATTTTTAATAATAATAAAAAATAACACTAACAATTATTTTGTCAATGTCTGACGATGACCAATGAAACAGCAGAGGAAAACATTTCTTAAGCAAAACAGAAAAAAATTTAAAGGGCTAAGATGACTTATTATGGCTTGCTCAATGGCCAAAAAAGTTTGCCTCATTTTGAGCATCTAAAAGTTTCATTTCCACCCGTGGATGCGCGCAGCTTGCGGAATTCTCACATTGATTCAGCATTTTTAATTCCTGAAGCCTCATAAACCATTAACAAAAATACACGATTTTGCTCGAATGCTGATCAATCTGTCCTGGTCTTTACAAGTCCTTCATTCGCACCCCGCCCTGGTTCCTTTAACAATCACCGCTTCTTTCTTCTTTTTGTTGTTGTTGTTGTTGTTGTTGTTGTTGTTGTTGTTGTTGTTGTTGTTCTTCTTCTTCTTCTTCTTCTTCTTCTTCTTCTTCTTCTTCTTCTTCTTCTTTCTATCTCTCTTTTATTCTATCCAATTTTATCTTTTTGCAATTGCCATTCTCACTATTTCGGAAGTACAGAAGGCTCCAAGTAGAAACAACTGCGACATAATTCTACTGGATCAATAGCTATTATGATTGGGAAGAAAATTCACCTTAATAAAATAATTTCTTTTAACTAATAACAATGCTTGTGGCACTAGATAATCTTAAACCTACGTAAACCTAAGCGATATATGTGTGTGTCTTGCTTATCTTGTTTCTTTGAAACGTCTAAACCGTGCAAATAGGAATTCCACATTCACCCAAACCTCGAGAATGAGGCTCATGAAATTTGAAACCATCTACTCCAAGCGACACCTTAAAAAATGGAGATGTTTTACGTCTCCATTCACACAATTTACATAATTTAGAATGCCTAGGCAGAGGGGGGATACGACATCCCAGCCGAAAGACCGAGATACTCGATAAAGAAGCTCCTCACGTGGGAATAGAATTCAAGTCATCTCCGAGCGAGGGCGAAGCGCCTAACCGCTACACCATAGGCGCCGGTCTCAAAACGACATAACAGCAGACTTGTCAAGGAATATCTGAACATTCTATGCAATCAATACATAAACCAATAAACAGGACACATTTAAAGATAACGTAGAGGACAAAGACTTGCAACAACAAATAATACTTTGATATATTCAATGCTTTTCGACTATTGAGAGATAATTTCAATTGTTTAACGAGAAGTTGAAGATCTGGCAATGGAAAAACATTCTGGAGACATTTTGCCTGTGGCATACACACGTAACATGTTGCATTACCTATTTTGAATGTTGTGTGCTTTAGAGGATTTTTAAGTGGGGTGTTGGAGTGTACCACTGGTAGGTGCTACTTCATTTTTTCACTCTGTTGTTTCTGTCTCTCTGTCTTGCTTTTTTCAGGCATCATGTAGCTATAGTTTTATCGATGTGCTTCTCTTTACTCAAACAAACCAACAGCAGGTTCATACTTACAAGCTCATACTTCGATACGCATTGAAGAGATCAAATTACAACCTCTGTGAAGGTATCAGGCCTTCTAATTCTTTATTGAAAATGTTCTTAGTGTCCCGGCAATAGGATCCTTCAAAGGGAAAATTTATAGTGCGCTTTATGAGCCAATTTGAAAATGACACGTATAACAAGAATAGTTAGATTGATGACGATGATTGTGTTGCTGCTGCTGCTGCTGCT